TTAAAATGTTTCAATAAAATGATGCAGCACTGAAGGCATTTACTAGGTCAAGAGATTTGGAAGATAGTTACCTGGCCAAGTAACTGGAAGAGACCCATATTTGTGCCCAATCCAAAGAGATGACCCAAGGGAAAGCGAAAATCATCAAACAATTATCAGTATCGTATGCAAGTAAAATTTTACTTCAGTAAAAAAGTGGTTATTGTAATACAAAGACAGGGAGCTGCCAGAAATTCAAGCTGGATTCAGAAAAGGACAGGGAACTAGGGACATCATTGCTGACATCAGACGATCTGGGCTGAAACAGAGAATACTAGACTATTGCGAGTACTATGTACTGCCAGAACAAACCAATCTGTTTTGGAAGTATTGTTCCTTAGAAGCAAGGATGGCAAGATTTCATCTCTCACTCTTTGGCTATGTTGTCCTTGGAGGAGGACATCGAATACGACAACATCCGAGATGGACGGACACAGTGGCAGCACACACAGAGGAAGGCACACAAGACTAGGCAGTCTTTCCTTGTGTTGTGTATACCAACTCTACAGCACCTAACAATGATCTTTTAGAGGCAGAGCAACACAGCTGTCTGGAGTTGCCTCTGGGTGTGTCCTGTCAACCTGTGGTACATCGGAACTCCTATAGCTATGCTTCACTGAATGCCCATGATACATTCTGTGAACTGGAACACAGTGATTTGATGTTGTGCGAACACCATACTGTAGTCTGGTCCTACTTTTTCTTTTAGCATCTTGAATCTATTTCATGCCTCTATCAACATGCTTAAAGGGAATTGCTTTTGTGCTCAGTCTCTCACATTTTCTTTAGCCTTCAATGGCAACGTCCCTAATAGTTTGGAGCATTTTCTTTGTTCTTAAGGATTGTTAATTGCAGAGTTCAATATGCCTAAATTGTGATCAATATAGCATTCGGTGAGTTCCCACCTTTGTGTTGTTTAATAACTTTCCTATCCGATACTACTCCTATCACTAGCATTGATTTTGCTGTTTGGGAGCCATGATATGCTTCATGGCAATATTTTTGAAAGAATATAGTTAATTCAACAGATAAATGCTACAGTGTTCAAAAGATACAGTACACATGCCTACAAGTCAAAGCATACACTGCTATACAGCACACTTTTTAGAAAGCAAGTTAAGTAGACACATAGGCCAGTAACTTAGGAACTATCAAGGTGTATTATAGATTATATGTACACTGTATGACTGCCCTTATATTCTACACTTTTTAGAAAGCATGTACAATTCCCTGCATACACAAGCCAGTAAAATAGATGATTATGATTATTAAGATACACGTATTGTACCATTGGCAGAACCATTGGCTTTGTGTACAAGAGGTATGAGTTATCTTTATGTTTGCTAGTCCGGTTACATATGCTACAACTTGTTCTCTGATTGGGATTTCTGAACTCTTATTATAATCCTATGGGACCACAGATGTATATGGGGTAGGATGATGCCTGAACAAATGTTATGCAGAGTATAACTGTATTTGTTGTTAAGTACCATCAATTCGGTTCTGACTCACAGTGACCCTGAACAGGATTTCCAAGGAACAGGTGGTGAGCTTGAACCGCTGACCTTGTGCTCCAGCACACTAACCCACAGCACCTACGTATGTAGGTAAAAGGGCGTCATCTGTAAATGGCCATTTAGGAATTCCACTACTTATAAAGAAGTATTTTGAAATATATGTACAGATATTCCACTAATCCATGAATCTAGAGAACTATTTATTCAATACATTTTATTTGTTTTGTCTAATTTAGAATCTTTTCATCTTACATGGTATTTTTTCATACACCTAAATTAGTAATTTTAATTTTAATTTTTCTCATAAAAAACATAATGAAGTTCTTTATAAATTGCATCCTCTGATTTTCTTGTCAGCCTGCTTCAAGGAAATCCATGTATTCAAAATACTTGCTCGCAGTTTAGCCCATATCAGATGATTCTGTAATCCAAAGATCTGAGCAGCAAACTGAGCTGATCCTTCGGGAGAGAGAATGGTTGAACAGCCGAGACCTGTTGGGACAGAACAGAAAATTGAGCAGTCAGCAATACCATGCAATCAGTACTTTTAGATTCACTCAAATAGTGAGCTACAGACAGTAAGCTGTCACTGTATTAGTCCTTGTTGAAAGTAAAACCTGTGCAAAGAGTTTTCATCTTTACTGCTGGAGTGGAAAGTGATTACAAAGGGAAAAGTAATATATATGTACTTATAGTCATCACCGACTCGATGGCACATAACAACAACAACAACAATAGTCATCATCTATCACCCTCACTGAATGCATCTGAAACTTTACTGCCTCAATTTCTTTTTTAAAGTAACTGAGGAAAGGGATTAGAAATGAAATAACATAAGTTTGTTAGTATATTTTGATAATCTTTTAGCTATTCAATTTGTTTTTGCACTTGAACTACTGTAACAATAAGGGCTCAAAAGTGATTTTCAAACTACGAATAAAACGTTTTAGATATACAAGGGTCTCAACACATTCACCTTTGAGGTCCCTTTTCTAGGAGCGCTCAGGTTAGAGTCCTCGGCAGTTGGAACCCACCAGCCACTCTGCCAGGGGAAGCGGTGGCAGTCTGCTTCCATAAAGATTCAGTCCTGGAAACCTTACAGGACAGTTCTACGAGGTCCCTTGGGGTCGCTAGGAGTCAGAAGAGACTCAGTGACAACAGGTTTGGTTTTGTTTCCTTGGTACCCTTTTTTCAGGTAGTAAATAAAGCAACATGCTTCAACAAAAAGAGAGCTAAGAAAATGGAAGACATGATCTAGGAAACAGGAGGTTCAAGACTCCTCCCACAGAAACCCACACTCTCATTGAGTTGGTTCCGATCACAGTGACCCTGCATCTGGTTTCTAAGACTGTAAAGCTTTACAGAAGCACACAGCCTCATTTTTCTGGTGGGCTTGATCTGTCGACTTTACAAACAGCAGTTCAGTGCTTATTCTGTCAGCGCATCCAAGGAGTGTCCATAATGACAGTGAAGGGAGGTTTGAGGACAACAGTGGTACAGCAGGCCTAGAGAAGGCGGCCCACAGCAGAACAGGTTAGCTGTTAGCTCCTGTGGTTGCAGAGTAGAACTGTGCTCCACAGGGTTTTCAAGACTTTGACCATTAGGCCTGTTTTCTGAGGTGCCTCTGACCAGGTTTGAACTGCCAACCTTTGAACCATTAGCTGAATGCTTAACTTCTGTGTCACTCAGAGACTCCAGAACAGGGAACAGATCAGAAATCTTAGTATTTAATGTGCTTGACACATATCAAAACCTGGTTTATACATGTATACATTTTGGGTTTAACTAGTGTTCATAAAACAACTCTTGTTAAAATAATACTGACTCTCATGATTCGCAAAAAAATTGGATTTCTTGCACTCTGATGAACACAGTTCTGTTAGTCTAAGATATCCTGCTCAGTAAGTCAGCTAATAGGACTTCCTTGTAGGCATCTTTATGGAGGTATTATAAACACATTCACTTCTATGTATTCTTGTAAAAAAAACAAAACAAAAAAACCAGAGTAAAATCTGAACCTAATCTAGCTATACTTTTACCACCAATTCACAGAAAACCTAAGGGGTGGAAGAGCATTAAAGATCACGCAGCAATTACAGAAATTTTATAGGACAAAGGCGGGAAACAGATTTGTTACAGATCAATGCATGTCTGCTACCATCACATCGATTCTGACTCATGGTAACTCTAGATAGGGTTCTGAGGCTATAAATCTTTATAGGAGCAGAAAGTCTCATCTTTCTCTACGAACTGGCCGTGGATTTGATCAACCTAGCAGTTAGCAGTCTAGTGCGTATCCTACAGTGCCGCCAAAGCGTCTTTGTTACAGAGTAAGAGACTTAAAAGACGTAAACTAAACTCAACATAAAGACTATATTAGATTCTGCTTCAACAAACAGAAATTCGAACATTTAACTAGAAATTAGATTATTTTAAGAAATTACTATTAATTTCTTCTTAGATGGAATCATGATTATGATTTAAAAAAAAAAAAAAAAGAGTCCTTATCGCTTCGAGATACCTACTTGACTACTTAAGGCTGGAAAGCTATGCCTAGTATATGCTGTAAAATAATCTCTTTTGTGAGTTCCTGACATTGGGTAACAGGTACAGTGGATGCAATTACACTATTCTCTACTGTTGTATGCATCTGTCATTTTGTTAATGAAGAGTTTAAAATATTCCATACAACTTACCACTGGGTAGTCGAAGTGAAGACCATACATCCTGAGCTCCCCAGTCCGCTGTGAGAGGAGGACAGCTGATCACTGGATATGCAGTGTTACCGGACATCACTGGTCCCAAACCATTGCTTCTGCCAGCTACTGCCACAAATACAGTCGGAATGCCATCCCCTATAAAAAAACACGTTTATAATTCATCCATGCTATACTCCATCAAAGTAGCTCTGGTAGCGTAGTGGTTACGAATCGGGCTGCGAACCTTAAGGTCAGTGGTTCCAAACTACCAGCCGCTCCGCGGGAGAAAGATGAGGCTTTCTACTCCCGTAAGGATTTACACACCCTCGGAAACCCTGTACAGGGTCGTTATGGGTCGGAACCGACTCGACGGCACTTGACAACAACAACAAATACTCCATCAAGACATTTCTTTTATGTACTGTATTCAGAAACTGTTTCTTAATTTCATATGTCACTGCATCCCAGGAAAGGCCAGCTACTAAAGATACCTAAGAAGATCTGCTGCTTCAACCTCAAATTTCTTGTCTTTGACATGGACCTACTTTCTGTTGGAGGCTATTAGAAACAATGCTTGAAGAGCTTCTCACCAGCTAAAGATGCAACTGGGCCTCATAAATCTAGTCTTCATTCTCCTCCTTTGTTAACATTTTCAATTCTTTCTCTCTGCCTGCTCCTTTTTTTTAAACTTTGGAGGCACCACAAAAGCTTAGCACATCATATTCCTTCCCTGCCCCTTGGAAATGTGGCAAAGTTCCTTTTCAGGATTATTAGTCTAAAAGAAATTTTTTTTTCATAAAATCAAGAGAACTGCCAGAAAGTTTTTTACCTTCATACTCAGCTTTAATCCTCAGAGTTTCATCTGGTCCTTTATGTGCAGAAGTTATCCGAAGTTCACATGGAATGCCAAAATTTCCACAAGCCTTCTTGATTTTTTCACAGTGACCGAGATCAGAGGTTGAGCCCATCAATACTACAACCCTGCACTGGCTTTCCGATTTCAAAAGCAACTGCAAAGAAAAATATGGACATGAAAAGAAGATAAAAGGCTTACAGAGTGGTAATTTGTAGTAAAATCATCTCTAGACAGAATATTTTCTTAACAGATCAAATTTATGATGGGAAAAACAAAACAATATAGAAATTATTTTTAAAATAGCTTCTATGTATGTACATACAAATATATTTGTTATAGTTAAGTGCTGTTAAATTAGTTCCAACTCATAGCGACCCTGTATAGCCAAGGAGTGGCTGGTGAATTTGAACCGTCAACCTTGTGGTTACCATTCCAGTGCTTATCCTACAGCGCTACACCAGGAGTCCACATATTACACACACCCCAAGAAGCAATCATTAGAACAGAACAAGAGAATACTACATGGTTTATGATCAAGAAAGGTGTGTGTCAAGGTTGTATCCTTTCACCATACTTATTCAATCTGTACCCTGAGCAAATAATCCAAGAAACTGGACTATATGAAAAAGAATATGGCATACGGATTAAAGGAAGGCTCATCAAAAACCTGCAACATGCAGATGACACAACCATACTTGTTCAACATGAAGATAACTTGAGGCACTTTATGAAGAAGATCAACGAATACAGTCTTCAGTATGGATTGTAACTCAAGGTAAAAAACAAAAGCAAAAAATCCTTACAACTGGACCAGTAAACATCGTGATAAATGGAGAAAAGATTGAAGTTGTCAAGGGTTTAATTTTACTTTGGTCCAAAAATCAATGCTCATGGAAGCAGCATTCAAGAAATCAAATGACTTACTGTATTGGGCAAATCTGCTACAAAAGGCCTCTTTAAAGTATTAGGGAGCAAAGCTGTCTCTTTGAGGACTAAGGTGCATCTGACCCAAGTCATGGTATTTTCAATTGCCTCATATGCATGTCAAGCAGGGCAGACATGGTTTCAACCATAAATCTGCTAATGGGGGAAGGTGGCCTCTTCCATCCTGGTAAATGGCAGGATCTACAGACTTTTCTACCCACCACTTTGATAACTGTAGGAAGCATAACATGTGGTTGTGATCTGTGACGTTTTGCAAGACTGGGGGCATCATGGAGAGATGAAGAAGCACTAGGTCAGCACCTCCTTTACTGCCACTCTCATGGCCCTCTGTGCCCACAAAGCACAATTCATACCAACACTCACTAAAATGGCTTTGCATCACCTGACTATGAAATTATTAAGTGGGTGAGAGACAGAATTGGTTGGGAAGAGGAAGGCAAGGCCTGAGTAGGTGGAGTCTCACCCATCCTAAGAGCAGGCAGCCCATGGTGGATTGCCTCTGCACTCCAAGGTCAAGTCCTGCTGCCTGGGGCCTCCTGCACATGTGCTCAGCAGGCAAGAATGTACTGACTGCAATACTATGTGCCGGAAAAGGCAACCACTCAACTGACTCCCAAGGGGAAAAGGCTTCGCTACCCCCCCCCAAAGCAGAGCAAGACCTACATCCTCAGGGAGTGGCAGGCTGTGTGCATGTAACTCAGGCTGCTACTCCTATATACAAGTCCTGAAGTTGTCACCAATAATTTCCTAAACATCGTCTTCACTTTAATTCCTATATGAAATTGTAACTCAGTGCTGAACTTTAGACCCAGGTAAAGGAGAGATAAATAGTAACAGGATTTATCTTTCTAAATATCTCAACCTAGCTTGTGTCTTAAGTCAGGTTTTACACCAGTCACAAGTACTGGGGACCACAGTATGTCCTTAACAGTAACCCAAACCCAAGACTGAGGGAAGGAGAGCATTTTCTGTGAGACATCACAATCTGTGACTGTGATGGCCACTGAAAGGTCAGGACTTTTGTTGCATTTTGATGAAAAAACCATCCTATACTGTATCAATGTAAAATACTATGGCAGCAGATAGGAGAAGAGTAGAAAAGGGACCAGTTTCCCAAGAGCTCTATCTAGGATTCTGCTATTCAGTAATGGAATGGTTATAACTACTATACCTATCATGGATGTTGAAACGTATGTTGAGATCTGACACACAGAAGATGCTTTTGAAGACTGGAAAACTAGCTATGCCACTGGCCTCGCTGAACTCCGTGAAGTTCAGGGACAAGAAGGGTTGGAGTCACCAAACAAGCAAGCAGTCCCTTCAAAGATGGCTTAGAGGGAATCTCTGACTTGCTGACTGACCTGCACAGCTGGTGGACTCCCAGTCAGAAATATCTTGTGTTGTAATAAGGACCTGCTGCTGACACCTCCAGTCTGAACAGCCCAGAAAGTATGCTCCAGAAGTCACCTGAACCAGAATTCTCTAACAACCTCTACTTTCCTGCCAGCTAAGAATACTGAGTGAGACTGAGCTAATGGTGTATTCCTGACAGAATGAGTTTTATTACAAAGGAGCTTAAGGTAAAGGTGTATGTTCTTGGGACTAAAAAGCTAGCTATGCCCATTGGCCTCTCTGGGCCCCCTGAAGTTCAGGGTCAAGTTTTTCTAACCCTAATACAAGTTTGAGGCCAGCCAGCGATTCTTCCTCCAGCTTAGTGGAAAGAGTGTGGCAGAGTTGCACCTTAACAAGTTGTCACAGGAGCAAGCCTGCATCTTGCGGGGTCACTGAGGAGAGGAGAGGAGGGAGAGGCTCCAGGGTGCAAGATGCATAACCAAACAACTTCAATTCTTTATAATTATTTTTTTCCATTACGTCTGGTCAAATTTTAGAATTAATATTCCCATTAGGATTTTACACTTTTTAAGACCTTAATGTGAAATTACCTGCAAACTGACAATCTACTCAAGGAAGTTACAACCTGAATTTTTATGTTGTTTTTTTTTTATTATTCAAAACAATGTCTTTAAAACCGACAAAAACATTACTGGGCCTCACACTGATTATCCACCCTGTGACTATTACATGTGCTCAGTGCCTCTACCCAGTCACAGTCCACCCTCTTCCTTGTTGGACCAGGATGGCGATGTCCCCACACCACCTACTCAGAGGGGCAGCAACTACGAACTCACCCAAACAAGCTTACTAATGGCATCTTTGCCTATAAAAAGAATATACTATACACAACCCTACTATAAATCAAATTGTTCGAAGTGTGCAACGTCTTTAACGTTTTCATGAAACACTGAACAGTGGGTAAGTTTGAAATGCAATTTACCCAGGAATAAACGCAATAAAGTTATTTTGATGAAAGAAAATGTACAAAATGTGACACGTACAGAAAAACATTGCCGATTAGATTCTTGAAATAAACTTTTAAGACCCAAGTAATAACATTTGGTAAAGTTTCACAAACTGCACATGAAGTAAATTCATGCGATTGCCGCAGGAACTGTAGCCAAGCAATTCACTCACAGGGATTTCTTATGCATTATTGAGCTGAAATGGACTGGTATTGGCTATTTTGAATCTGTCAACCACAAGGTTTACTATGCTGGGAATGACAAATTGAAGAGGAATGGTGTTGCATCCACTGTCAAAAAGAACATACCCAGATCAGTAATAAGGTATAACGCTGTCTGTGATAGGATAATATCCATGCGCCTACAGTGAAGATGAGTTAATACCACTATTATTCAAATTTACACACAAAACATAAAGCCAGTGAGGATGAACCAGATGAATTCTACCAAGTTCTTCAATCTGAAATTGATCAAATACGCAATCAAGATGTACTGATCATTACTGGTGATTGGAATGCAAAGGTTGGGAACAAAGAGGAAGAATCAGTAGTTAGAAAATATGGCCTTCGTGATAAAAATGATGCTGGAGAACGCATGATAGAATTTTGCAAAACCACTGATTTGTTCATTTCAAATGCCTTCTTCAGACAGCAAAAGAGATGACTATACACATGGACCTCACCAGATGGAATACACAGAAATCAAATTGACTACATCTGTGGAAAGAGATGATGGAAAAGCTCCATATCATCAGTGAAAACAAGGCCAGGGGCAGACTGTGGAACAGACCATCAATTACTCATAATACAAATTCAAACTGAAACTGAAGAAAATGAAAACAAGTCCACAAGAGCCAAAATATGACCTTGAATATATCCCACCTGAATTTAGAGATCATCCAAAGAACAGTTTTGATACATTAAACACTAAAGACCGAAGACCAGAAGAGTTGGGGGATGACATCAAGAACATCATACATGAAGAAAGCAAAAAGTTATTGAGAAGACAAGAAAGAAGAAAAAGGTCAAAAATGGATGTCAGAAGAGACACTGAAACTTGCCCTCCAGCATAGAGATGCTAAGGCAAATGGAAGAAATGAAGAAGTATAAGAGCTGAACAGAAAATTTCAAACATCAGCTCTAGATGATAAATCCAAAAATACAACAACAAAACATTTTAAGATCTGGAATCAGAAGAAAATAGAAAAACACGTTCAGCATTTCTCAAGCTGGGAGAACTGACGAAAAAATTCAAGACTCAACTTTCGTTAATGAACAACTCTCTGGGCAAATTACTGAATGATGCACAAATCATCAAGAGAAGATGGAAGGAATACAGAGTCACTGTACCAAAATGAAATGGTTCATGTTCAACCATTTCAAGAGGTAGCGTATGATCAAGAGCCAATGATACTGAAGGAAGAAGTCCAAGGTGCACTGAAGGAATTGGCAAAGAACAAGGCACCAGGAATTAATGGACTAAAAATTGAAATCTTACAAGAAAGTAAGGCAGCGCAGAAGGCACTCACTCATCTCTGCCAAGAAATTTAAAAGATGACTATCTGTCCGACTGATTG